CTCATAAGTTCTTACACATCTTCTTGGAGGTGAGGGTGTGGAGATGTTTTTAACAGGAAACAGTGTTTGGAAAGGATTGATAGATGTTATTATTAATGGTCATGTCCATTGCTAGCATTGATTTACTGCTGATAAGCCACTGTATGCATATAAATAGCATCTTTGTTGAATTCGATGCTGTGCTTTAGAGTTTACATAAGGAGCCCACAGGAGAATCAGTACTTGCCACCATGACCTTTCGGATTTGAGATGGCCCCAACCAGGCTTTTGTCACATCCCAAGAAGTTAGCCAGGCATGGGCTGGGTGCTAGGCTGCTTAAGAAGAGTTTTATAGTTGATTTTTGTCTGCTTTGCTTGGTCTTCTAAATGGTTATAGTCTCAGCAGCTAACATGGGGCCATTCCAATGAACATCTTTCCTATGGAGATGTGTGGATGACACTGATAGCTGCAGTCGCTATTATACAGCACATCAGGCAGGTGGGCCAGACCCTTGTCAGATATGGCTGACTAAAAGGCAAATCCTTGTTACAGATGCTACATCGTGGCTATCGGTCTGGGCTGTCTGGCTCTGGTACAGATGACCTGCTCTTGGGCTAGGGATGTTTTACAGTAGGGCAGCCTTGGCTGGGTATGTGCTACACTTTAAAGCTTTACAGCTTATAAGGTGGCATTGAAAATGTTGGAAGAGGGGAGCAGAGCTGCAGAGGATCAAAATGCCTTTTGTCCTAGGTTTCCTTGCCCTGTTTTGATGACATGATCCGTTCCATTGTCCTTTCCACTGCTTTAGCCCTTTCCTGTATCTCCAGCATGGCCTTTTGCATCACAGTTGCTCTGGAGACCAGTTAGTGATGATCAGCACTGGGCTGAGGTCCAGACAGATTGCGCTGGGGCATCTGGAGTCATTGCCAAATGGGGCTGGCCATGGAAAGCATCAGCTTTTTTCTGAGCAGCAGCTGCTTCATTTAAAAACCACAAGAGTGGCTCTGTGGTAAGGGGGGCATCACCTGCAACTCCTTTTGGTGAGCAGATTGTTTACTGGGGCATATGTGAGGCTTTCAGTACATTTAAATGTGTCCTGGGGATAGGGGAAGATCCTATTTGAAAGAGACTTTCGGGGGAAACAGCATCAATGTTGGAGGGAAGGATGTACTGTGGAGGGATGATTCCATGTGGAGAGATCAGATGAGAGCAGGGTGTTGGGTGTGCAGCAGAGAGCCGGAGGAATCTCATTCTGCTGCTGGGAAGGTTGTCTGGTGGTCTTTGTTAGTAATGAGTTTGCCCCCAAAAAACTTCAGCACCACGAAGAGCAGCATTATAGCCCCACAGCAGTGTTCCCAGGCCTGCGGTATTCCCAACAGACCCATTTGAACTCAGGCCTATTCGTTGGGTTTTTGTGCATGAAGACTTACCTTAATTTTCTGTACCATGTGAGAGGTGCTTCCCGTACAGGACAAAAGGCATTTAGCACAGATTTTACTTTACATGTCACGCTTCAAAAAATTCAGTACTAAATAAGATTTTGTATTGCCTGTGGGTCAGTGCTGCCACTGCCACTGTGCTGGGAATTTGCCATGGATCCTGGGGTTAACCACAGACGCTTGGCACAGTGTTAAACACAGTAGTTTTTGCCTGTTGAACTGTACTGCTTAAAATCAAGGCATCTCCCCAGAAAGAGAAGCCATTCATGGCCTCGTGGTTGAGGTTATGGAGCAAGGGGAAAAGTTTCACTACTGAAAATTTATGAGTTCTGTAAGTGGCCAGACTGAAAGAAGGTTTTATCATGAGGTCAGTCCAGGGCTGGGAGGGGAGAGTGGGCAGAAAATAAGCCAAAGTTCTGCTAAAGCATTCAAAATCCACAGGAAAGATGAGAATTTTTTTTCCTGGTATGAGAGGAACCATCATCAACCATTCCCCCAGTGGTTGCAGGGGCAATTATTTCAGCCCTGGGACCTGTTACTGATGGGTACCATAGACTCAGTCCCATGAGGTTTTTAAAACCAGGGCAGCATTGTTCTACAAGATGTCAGCCAGAAATCTCTGGGTGGGCTTCTTCAGCTTACCCTACTGGGAATTACCTGGTCCTCTCTGTCCTTAAAAGTAATTTTCAGGCTTTAAGACATCCTGGAGGTCCACAGTCACATATCTGACACCTGCCTTTCTGTTGTCTTGCTTGCAGCCTTGCCTTCTACATACCCACTTGAGTTTTGCTTCAGCCTGCATCCCATCCACTATCCTATAATCATATTCTGCTCAAAACCCTCTTGTGTACCCTACATTGCCTAATCTCTCACTGCTGTAATTATTACACTTCCGTATTTCTTTTCCTTCCCCTTTGATGGTCAGACCTGAGTCAAACTGTAACCTAATGGAGCCAAACACAGATTATTCCCAGCCTAAACCTCCATTCAATATAAATCAGTGCACGATGCCGAACTTCCTTCCGCGCTGCTCAAGAACGCTCCATACGTATTAGATCTGCGATGATAAGGAAACACGGTGGTGCAGCTTCTGTGCTGACCTAGAGACCAACCCTGGTGCTGCTTTATTTTCTGTCCCAACGAAACAAGAGGGCTGTGTGCGTGCTGGGAGGCAGGCTCCACGCGAGTGCCAGGTGTGTGTGACTCATAAACACTCAGCAGCACCGAGCTGTGCAGAGGAATATATATTACTTTCTATTCCCCAGCCCCCTGCTGCACTGAAATCACATTTTCCTACCATATGATGCAAAATCTTAGTGTTGGATGGCTTTTCTGTTGTTTGCGGTGTAACATCTCCCGTCAGCTGAGCTGCTGTGGACTGGAATAACCCAACTCCATTGCGGTCATTCTCCCTGAAAAGTCACCCTGCGTCATGCTCTGAGGGGTAGCAAGGAGGGGGGCCAGCGGGCAGGAGCTGGGCTTGTCCCCTAAAAATACTGACTTTGCCTCCAGTGGTGCTCTGGGTTTTGAAGCCGTTATCTGCTGGAATGACGACTGTCCAGCAGAAGCCCTGTTTTCTGCAGCTCCTCATTTCACTGAGCTCGCTAAATGCATATATCCTGGTTATAAATACACATGTAAATGAGTGCTTTATTTCTTGCTGCCTGTGCTCACTATTAATTGTTTGTTCTGTTGCCATTGCTAACTCCCTGCCTAGCTGAAAGAGCTGAACACTACTGCTGTGTTACTCTTTGGTTTGTAACTTTGCCCATGGGGTGTACTGCTCTGTGGGACGAGATATGGCGTGATAGGTCTAGTGTGGCACTGGTTGCCCTAAATGTCAGCTGTATTGCACTTCCCTGGTATGCTGCTATGTTGGCTTACTGATTTTGGGTTCCTCTCTCTATCTCTTGGCTTCTAGCTCACAGCAAAATCCCCCTTTTCCTAGGCAGGCCCTTGTCAGGAGATAAACTCTGTATATCATGTCCCCTTCTCACTGACTGGTGTCTTTTATTCCAGAGGCACCTAATCCTACACAATGTGAAAGACCAAATTAAAAGAGCATTACAGTTATGAAGTAAAAAACGTGGGAGTTAGGAAATGCCAGGTCCTGTGTAATTATAACTTGGCTGTTAATCATTATTAGGTTACATTATGTGTATCATACTTTCCATGTGAGCCCTGCTTTGTGCCCTGCGCAGGGTGGGATGGCACCCTGTGAGCAAAGTTTCTTCCCATCCTATGGTATTTTGACTGCTGCTGTATTACTAGCAGGTGGTTTCTATATAAGTCTTAGGTTTCTGTGTAAGTCTTCAGTTTCTCTATAAGTCATATGTTTCCATATAGCTGTTGAGACAGCTATAGTCATGGTATTGAGCCCTTTAAATGTTTTCTCCTTCGCAGTTTCCCTGGGAGGCAAATTTGGCATTGCCCCCATTTCATAGATAAGGGAATTGAAGGAGTGTGTTGCAAAGTCCATAACTACTGGCCCCTGATTTTAGGTGCTCCAAGCCAAAGTACCTTTGGTTTGACATGTCAGAATACTTTTGTGGTTTTCCATCACTTGAGAACCTGAAGGAGGCTGTTACGCTGATCAGGAGATTACTTATTCCCCTAACTCTGTTCTTGAACATGATTATGTGTTTTACCAGTGTTTAAATAATTCAACCCAACACATCTTGAATGGAAAACTTCAGCCCACAAAGAGTTAAGTTGGCCTTGCTTTTGTAAGCAGCCCTTGTAATGGAAAGTGTTAGACAGCCTTAGCTGAAGGTGTCACTGGTAGCTAGGTTTCTCTGTTAGTCACTGTCCTTCACATGCTATTTAAGTATCTTTTGCCTGTTTGCAAATGCTGTATCTTGTGAAATAGGGAGAAGACTATAAGGCTGTGGTATTTGTAATAGAGAACAGTAGTGGGAAGATATGAGCAACACAGAGCTTCTAGAAAGCTTTGTTAGGTGGAGTTTAGCCCGGAAAGGAACAGCAGTCATGTTGTAGGCTCCTAGGGGCTGGGATTTATGATTGGCTCTGGCTATGATGAGTTCAGGATTAGCACTAATTTATTCCACTGTAGGGAATGGTTTTCGTGAATGATGATTGTCATGTAATTATGTCCCCAGTACTGTTACCCAGTTCTTACTGTGCTTCCAGAAAATACCCTAGCAGTAGGCAATCCTTTCCCCCAGTTTCAAGCTGTGTCAAAGTTTCCCTCATCATTGACAAACCCGTTCCCTCTCTCTGTATGTTTCAGATATGTGCCATCATTGGAGGAACATTTACTGTAGCTGGGATCCTTGACTCCTGCATTTTCACAGCATCAGAGGCCTGGAAGAAGATCCAGCTGGGGAAAATGCAGTAGCAGTGAAACTCTACCTTAGTCTCCAAGGACAGGAGCAAAGATTGAGAAATCTACCACTACCTGTTTTTGTCTTTATTTTCTATTTGATTGAATCAGTAGGTTTTTCTCTAATCAGGCTGTTCAGTGAAGACCTCTTCAACAAATCAAAGGAATCTCCATGCATTTCAGAGCTCTGAGAGTGAAAAATCAATGGAATCAGGGCATGGATGTCGATTCTCTCCCCCCAGAAAGAGGTTGAAATGCCATATATGACATACATCGCCAGATCTAAGTAAGGATGACAATCTGTTCTCTGGGAGGTTCCTATGGCAGTGTACAAACTAGGTAGTAGCTTGAAAAGAATTGAGCTGTCTTGTGGCACTTTTTGGAATTCTGTTGGATTTGCATGATTAGACAATCGACTTTTGTATAAGGCAAAAATTATACATTAGGAAGAAATTCCACCTGTGGTGCCAAAAAGGTGATGATGTATCTGTTGGTGAGGAATGGAAAATGTTAGTCCCTGTAGCAAACTTTAGAGACAGAGGCCAGAAATATCAGGAAACGTTTTGTGCTTTTATTGAAAGCTCTTTTGTTCAGATATGACCTTTCTAATTAAATGAGCAAACAAGAAGAGGGAGCCTTCCCCCAGCTACCTTTTCCTGGGTAATCTGTGATCCAGGCAGTGGAGGGCTTTTCTTTTACTCTGAATGTAAAAGTGGTTTCATTTCTTCCCAGAAACTGAATATCCAGTCTTGTGTTTACAGGTGGCATGAAGTAAAAAAAACCAAACTGAGCAACACAGTTTTATGTGGCCTTTGCTTTGAAAGGGAATAGTTGTCTTTACAGCATTAGCTTTTATTCTTCTGAGTGTTTTCTAAACACAGACCACCCAACACTCTGGATTCTGCACTTCTGCTTTCTTATTGTTGTTGTTGTTGTTATTTTGAGAAAGGGTTGTATATTCTATGTGTTCAGAAAAATGGTGCAGTCTTCTGGGTGGATAAGCACAGCTTACTGTCTTGCTTTGTGTGTGCATATTGAATACACCTGTCAAACACAGAAGTCTGTCTTTCAGGGTTTAAGGTGCCTCCCTTTTCCTTTAAAATCCAGTCAGGCATCTTTTCTGAGCCCTAGACTGACACTGTTCACCCACAGGTACACCAGTAGCAGGGCAGGCATTCCCACAAGCAGGCCCCTGCTAGAAGATGTTTTGTTTTATTCCTTAAAATGGTACCTGAGCTTCCATGCCCGTTCATTCAAGCCTTGTCTTCTGGGGCCTCCAATAAATGGAGGGAGAACTACTGCCAGGTATGGCTTGCATGTAATGGTAGACATGAGTTCACTAAAATTAGACCAGTACCCGCCAGCGCATTTTCCATAGCCTCCTAAATGTTCCTTGAGTAGTAACAGTCTCTGCATGCTTTGTAAATGTCTGAGCTGAGGATACATAAATTTTAAGTGTTCCAGGATGGATAAAAATCATAAAGTAAAAATACTCTACTCAATCAATGCTGTAAATTCTAAGATGGGTGCAGGATTTCTCTTGGGTAGTATCTACTGCCCACTGCCCTTTCCTGGAGGCAGAAGTAGGCAAACATTATACTGTAATAATATGAATTTTTGAATATTCAGTGTTAATGCTAGAGTCAGATGCATTTCAAAAGTATTCCTAATACATGTCTGTTGGAGTTGTCTCTTTGCTTTGGAAGTAGGGAAGGTAGCCAGTTTATCCACACGCCAAAAAGAAGAAGCCAACCACAGACCCCTGCTGTCCTCTGCCCTGTAGTGACTTTGGACAAATTACAGCATCGGAATTTTTCCCTGTTCTTATTATGGACTGATTGCTATTGCTTTAGGTGTAAACTGGATTGTGTAACTTCCTGTATCTGTTAATGTATGGATAGATTTTATACATTTTTTTCCATTTACAAAAATCAACTTGAAAATGAGATGCTTGTCTTCATTTCGGTGTGCGCGTCCGTGTGCCCGCGAGGGGTACCCACTGGATGGAGGCAGCTGCCTGGTGGGAGCTGGGGTTTTCCACTGTGATCACCTCTCTTGCTGGCTGAAGGAATTCCTCTAATCCACTGTGACCAGATGAAGCTTACAGCAAAAATGTCCTGGTTTTTCCTCTCGAATTTGTTGAGTGTTTGCTCACAGCTTGGGAACCCAGTGGCTTACAAGGATGTGATTTTCAATATCTTAGCAGTGCATCCTTCTCCTGAGCTGTGCAGGAACAGATCTCTGTAGTGCAATGGATTGTACTGTTAGTTTTCCAAAATGTCTTCCTGGTGCAATGTCTTCGACACAAACAGGCAAAGCTTGTTGCAAATCCCTTGTGTCTCCTGGCATGTTATTTCTGCCCTTCTCCCCATCCTCAGTCTGAGTTCAAACACTGCCTTCTGTGCAGTTCAGGCTACCTCTCTAAACCAGACCAGTGAAATTGTTTGGCTTTTTTTGGAAATGCTGGGTGCATACTTCGGTGTGCCTGCTCTCGCTGCCAAAACGTCCACTGCAATAACACAATAAATCACTTTTTTTTTTTTTTTTGCTAGATGCAGAAACAAAATTGTACTCAGTTCTGGCAAAACCCTGCTGAAGAAATGGTCCGTACCTTTCTTCTCTAAACCAGGTCTACGCCTTTGAGTACTGCCAAGTTAAAGCTACCTTCTGGGCTCCTCTAAGTTGTGGCAAGGTTGTCCATCAGACGTGGCTGGCTTGGGTCATGTAAGGATGTTACATCACATGTTTACAGAAGAATCTGCTCTTCATGTCTCCCAATGTGAAAGCGAGGTGGTTGCTGTTACAGCAGTCCTGCCCCATGCATGCATGTCTCACTAGATTTCATTTGTATTTTCAAACACTTTCTAGAGATAAAATGGGCTTAGTTATGCTTTTAAATGCCATTGCAAACAAAGATAATGTCAAGCCATAGAGGAAGGAAAACCATCGACTGGAGGTATTCATCCATATGCCTGTCTTTGCTCTTCCAGGTCAGTTTTTTGACAGAAGTATTCGTAGTTTTCCAAGAAAGACATCCCTGTAGGAAATAAAATATTTAGAACTTCCAGTTTAAATTGCTCTCTCTAAAGGTACACTCCATCATATGGTGAGAACCCGTGGCATAGGATGCTTTGTAGTGGTGGAGTTAAAATGTTTCACTGTAGGGAATGCTGTGCTTGGGAATGTTCTAGGCCCTCTGTCGACGGCACTATGTGGACTGCTGATTATTTTTTAAGAAAAACATGGAAATGGGGTAAGAAAAATATCAGAAGACATGCATTTGTGAATGCTTGATCTGATATGTCAAATACCAACTACTGCTTTGTGAAAGTGAAGTCTGCAGCATAGATTGTAATGTCTGTAGCTGGTTTCAGAATATTTCCTCATTTAAAGTTGTTTTTTATTTGTGTGATACACAAACTGTTTGGGATGAAAATGACTGTGATGAGTATCTGCTTTAGAATAGTGGTCTGAAGTTTCAGATGAAATGTGACAATGAGGTGTTTCTCAGTAGTCCTGGGAAAAAGGGAGAGAAGGGCAGGGGAGGGGGGACCTAGCCCTGTAGTATATTATGGCAATGTTTAAAGCACAAGTCTTTTGCATTTTTACAGTGGAGATTATTAAGGAGTTCTGGCATTTCTCTTCTAATTTGCAACCTTATGTTAATAAAATATTAGCCTATTTAGTTCTATAATTAAAAATAAAACTCATTTGTTTTGATTGGCTTCTTTTGCTGCACTACCATTGCAAAATCAATCTAAAATGGCCTTTTTTTGTTGTTGTTTTCTTGAATTATCATTTCAGCAAACTAAGCCTTATCACACAATGAAATCACTGTAAGCCAGGTCACTGTGTAGAAAGTTAACACGAGGCTCTTTTGTAATCAGCACTGAGTCGTGTCTGGACATTCAGTGCTCAGTTTTGAACAGTACCAACTGTCCCAACCTCCTTTATTTAATGAGAGGTGAGTGGACTGTGCTCGGAACTTGCTGAGTTTGGCTTTAGTCACTGAGCCACTTGGTATATAAAATAACCTGGGGTTTGTTACCCCCCCTCTTTTAAATTCCTTTTAGCCTTACTTCACCAAGTGTTTAGAAATGAGTGTCTGAGGCAATTATTGAAGATGAAACAGTAAAGAGTTACAACACAGTGAATTTGAGCACTATATATCTGTGCCATGTTAAGAAACCAGTTCCTCGTAAGCTCTGGTGTTGCTTATTACATTACTGTCTTTGGCACAACATCTTCCTGAAGGAAGAGATCCTACCCACTTCCAATGAACCTCAAGGGCAGGTTGGTACCCAGTTGTCCAGCAGTGACACGGTGGTGCTGAAGGTTCCTTACTCTGTGTATAGGATGAGTCAAGGCACTGGGAAAGGCGTTTGTCCTGCTCACCCTGCTGCAACTCAACAGTACGGAAACTCTTCCATATAACCCAAAACCCGGTCAAGTGTCCTACGGCTGTGCACCCCCGTGCTTGGTTCGTGTCTACCAGCACCACCTTCCCTCAGAAGTGATTTCCCTTGAGAATAAATTCACCTGTGTGCTGACAAGATGCAGTAGCACCGACCCTACGGGCCCGGCAGCGGGAGGAAGCTGGCTGAGGTGCCTGCCTTCATCCGCGCCCGGGCAGGGATGAACCGCTGCGGCTCTGGGCACGGCGGCGGGAGGGATGCGGGAGCGGGACTGCTGCAGCTGTGACC